TATTATATATATATATATATATATATATCTTATATATCTTATGATACCAACAGACAACAGACATATATCATTTGTTTACATTGCAACAGTCGTTGTGAAATAGTGGAGTACATAAAATTATAATTAAACTCTTATAAGCTCTTTATGTAGCTAAATTTATCCAGGGGCAAACAATATTGATATGTAATAATATTAAGCTAATTTAAAATAAATGTCAATATATAAACTTAGTTACTGTTATGAATTTGTGGGCAAAAAAATAGTAAAATTACATATCATTTTTATTAAACAACTACCTAATATATTAAAGATTTAATAATTCAACCATAAAATAAGTATCCTTATAAACAACAAATATTTTATTTTCTGCTACAACTACATTTAATTATTATTTATTCTTAAAAAAACGTGTATTTAGTTAATTCATAGTTTACTTTTTGTAAAACAACATATAATTATACAAGTTGTTTAAAAAGTAAAGAAGCACTTGACATTTGAAGCTGCTATTTGATTTTTTTTAAAAAAATTATCTTTTGACTTCAAAATGAAACTAAGTAGTACGTAGTAAAGTAGTTTCACATCTTAATGTAAAAGTAATTAAAAATTACAATATTATGAACAGAAGTTTTGTGTTTGTGCTGCATATTTAAAAGAGCCCCAAAACCCACAAAACTATTATCCTGTTATAACTGATCCTGGGTCGTGCATATTATATTGAATATAGCAAGAAGATTTTAACTATTTCATTATTCAATGCTGTTAGTTATTTTCCAACGAAATTGCTGAACTAGCTTCCAATCCATAGACATAGTAGGATACTGAATACGTGTCATTGTGTAATGTTATTGATATTAATTTTCATAATAAAAATACAAGGGTTATAAATCAGAAGTTGACAATTTTTTCGAAACAAACTTATAATTTTAAGCTCAAGTCAATAACACCTAGTATATTTTTTTTAGCTGCTTCAGAAGTATTACATTTTTAGATATTTGTACAACGTCAAAAAAATGTAGGGATGTAAACAACACGGATTTTTGTTACTTATGTATTCAAAAAAAATATCTCTATGGCGTTTTAGTATATGAGTACATACAAAAACAAAAAAACACAATTCGATAATATTGGGAATACATAACACATAATACATAATATTGGGAACAAAAAAACAGCTTATTGAGGCGCAGTAAAGGTGCAAACTATTGCGAAGAAAATGTTTATTAAAATTATTAGACCTTTCAAGGTGGTAGACTTAATTACTTCCTTTGCGACAGGAAAGATACTTAAGTTTTTATACATTAAGTTTTAAAAATGTGCCAAATAAATATAATGGATAAAAATAGTTAATGGAATTTTCTGGGCTCAAGACAGATATATGAGACAAATTTAAATATTTTGAGTTTGAGCTTGTAAAAACAAATTTATTAAGAACAAGTTGAAGTTAACTTAGGTTTTTTGGGTCTACATAAACTTTTTCGGTCCAGGAACAATATAACTTTAAATAGACATAACGTAACTTTGGTATGTTATTAATTGAGTTTTATTTGGCAATATCAAAATTAGTTGAGCCTTAGTCATCAGAACGTTACACATATCTGTTTTTTTCAATGCGGTGTACTTGTACATGGGTAACATACATATGTTTCTAGTTTAATACGAAAACACGTCATTATTTGAACAATACACGTGCAAGATATTTTTCTGCTAATGTACTAAAACTTAAAATGTTCTTAGACTAAAAGGACTATTGCCCTTCGGAATTTTAAATCTCAATTCACCCCAAACTTGTTCCATCAATACGCCGAATTTGAAATTTTATAAAGATTTGAATTCCTGACGAGTCTCTTACCGACCGATCTCTCCATTTTATAGTGACTTTTATTTACAACTAACAAAAACTGCATGCATTTTTGTAACCGTTTATAAGCTAATAATTTGTAAAAATAAGAAGCTCTACAAAAAGACTATAGTAATAATTAAAGATAATTTTTTTGAAACAACAAAAACCTATCCGAATAACTAAACAAACAATTTGGATAAACGTCTCCTGGTAGTTTAGCTTCGAGAAGAGGAAAATTTGGCATTTGAAATACAATTTTAGATTAGATTTTATTTGTAATTTTTGTTTATTCAAGATCCTTGAGATAGAGGATGTAGCTAATAAGGAAGTCTTCTATTAACTGTTGAAAATGTTTATGGAGCCCTTTGTTTAAGTTTAAATGTTTTTCTTTATTTAGTTTGTATTTCTCGATTTTAATGAGTGCTTATAGTACTTATAGTGGTAACTTTTCCACTTTTAACATAGTATAATACTTTTGGAGAACTTTTAACTTAATATTATACATTAGCAGGCATAAAATAAATTTCTATTAGTTGTCTCATAAGGTAATCTTAATGAGAAAACGAATATAAAATTGTAATAATTTTCCAGTTTTTTGGTTATCTTCAGAATTTTATTGGTCGTCAAAGAATACCAGTTGTAATATTTCCTTAGAATATTAACACTTTGTACGGCTTATTAATAAATCTTTTGATTATGAAAAATGATAAAATAAAAATTAAAAAACTTAAAACTTCCATTTAAATTAAACGAGTCAAAATTTTTATTTTCATTGAACAAAAAAATAATATAGGTACTTATTATTTTATTAATATAAATACTTATATATTTAATAGTTTCAACATAAGGCTGCATGTAATTTTGTTATATGTAAAGCATATCAGATCAGATATCTTAGCTGAGTGGTACTTTATTGGGCCAAAAGTTCTGGGTTGAACTATTATATAAAACTAATTAGGTATCTAGCATAAATATAATGGAAAAAATAATATTAAAATACTCTAGTTCAATATTATTTGTGTTTGAAGTACATCTTAACACTGATATATATATTTAATAGATCTGATAGATATATTTTTTGTTTATTCAAGTTTTTTAGGAAAATGTATTGGTTGGGTATTATAACTAATAAGTCTTGGATAATTAAATTAAAGATTTCATCTATAATTATTGTAAAATCAGGGTTCTATATTGCAAGAAAATAAATAGTTCAAACATTTTAAGTACGCAAATAATTAACGGAATACTTTCAAAAACAAGTTGTTTTCGAAAAAAACGATAGTAGTTTTTTTAATGTATAATGTTAAAACTTGAAAATGTATGATATCTTCAGTTCTTGGTCGTTAATTTCCATAACAACAGATGTTGTGAAAAACAACTTGTTTTCGATAAGAAAAATATAAAACTATTCAAATAGTTATAAAATACTGTATATTATAATGTAAGAAAATAAATCTATAGCTTTTGTGTAAACATAAGATAGAAATCAAATTTAAAATGTAAGTTGAATGCACAAAATATTAATGATTAAATATATAAAGGCACTATAGTTGTATGACTTAAGGTGTAAAGTAGCATGGGTACATTGTATTAGTATGTTTTTTTTGTTAATATTATATCTATATAAAAATAATTTTAATGAAAACTGGGTTTCGTTAAAAATCAAATGTATATTTTTTTTGTAAAATATAATATTGTTAAACGTATTAAACTTTAAAGATTTTTCATTTTTTTACATTGCTACAGTAATTTCAGGAAATTGGTTCAAACACTTAAATACACAAACGACAAAACCAAATATGAAAACAACTGATTTTTGCAAAAAAACAAACGCAAAAATTTATAGTCAGTCTTTAGGTGTGAAAAATCCAACGGCACAAAAAACATATATATTTGTATAAACCAAGTTTGACGCAACCCTTAAATCAATATAAGATTCTAAAACAATAAGAAAATGTATAGAACTAGTTTCGTTGTATTAAACTAGATTTTTGAACCAAAAACAATTGTGTGTTGTTTACACGTTTTATTCGTAACAATAGTACATGGAATGTACTTTATTCGGCCAAACATGTTTAACAAACAATGAACTCATACACAATAGCAATACATAAACCATTTAAATATTTACACTCCCTTCGCCTACAAAATAAGACAAACATTTTAGAATTTTGTGCAGCACATATCGTGTATTTGTACATGAGTATCCTACAATATTTTTAGCTTAATATTAAAACATGTTATTATTTGAACAATACACGCGCACGATATTTTCAACTATAAGGTCTTAAACTAAAATGTCATCACCCGTGATGGGGAGGGTAGGATGAGGAAAAAGTATTATTACTCATGTTATTCGATGCAAAACTTAAATAAATAAGATGCTAAAACAAAAAAAAAAGCATAATTCTGCTAAACGTATTTAACAAACAATGAACTCATGCGCAATAACAATACATAAATAATTACAAATTGTTCACTCCCTTCGCCTACAAAATAAGACAAACATATCTCTCTATATAATGTAAGCATCAAACGTACGGTTGCTCTAGTAAAGTATTCTAGATTCTTGGTGTTTAATTAAAATAACTACTTCACAAAAATGAATTTAAAAAGTATTATTTATATTGTAGCCACCATATTATTAATAATGATGTCGGGTGTATCAGCTCCAGCTCCAATAGGTAAAAAAAACATTTTTAGAATATAATTTTTTATATTTTTTTGCATATAGTATCTTCAGCCAACAAAATTATTTCGAATTCTGTGGTCGTTTTTACCAGTTTTTTCGACTTGTTTATGAAATTTTATCGCATAATTTACCTTTTTATACCTCATTTAAATTTTTTTTTTAGAGTTTTTATGGAGTTTCCAATTTGAAACTATGTACACACTATGTAAAATTTCCTCAGCTTTCTGTTTAAAATAGTAGAAACATTTTTAGATAATAATCAATTTTAATGACTTTCTGTTACGCGAAAAAAAAATTAATATTTTTTTCAGAAAGCTGATATAATTTTACGTAAATATCTGATTTGTAATAACTTAATTTTGATATACGAAGATACTATAAATAATAATCAAAAAAAAAAAATTATTTCCTTCTATGTAATGCATTGGGATAAATTAAATATTTAAGCAATTTTTTTCGATATTTCAGCTCCTGACACGAAGGACCATGTTCCCCGTAAGTTTTTTAAACTGCTATAGCTTATATAAATTTCAAAAATGAAAATGATTATCCATTTTTATTATTCGTTATTCAAATGACTGTAAGTTGGATAATAATATTAGTTTTTGTGTGCTTTACAAAGATACTAGTAGTTTTACAATTTATTTTCAAAAAGCTAAAAATAAGTATAAATTGTTATTAAACATTGTTGATAAATTAATGAAGATTATTATATCCATAAACGTATTATTATAAAAAATTGTATGTATAGTAGAAAAATTGTTTCAAAAATGCAGTTTTTGAAAATACAACTTTTCAAATAAATAACTAAATTTTAATGACTTTTTGTCACGCAAAAAATTAATAAGCATTTTTTGCCAGATTAATATTTATTTTTTGAATGTAGAAAAATATCTACCTAAAAATCCTTTCAAAACGAATAAATATTAAAACAACTGTGTACTAGCCCTATAACAATGAGCCACATGATGCATTGGGATAAATCAAATGTTTAGTAATTTTTTTCGATATTTCAGCTCTTGTTGATGTTGGAAACACTTTACCCAGTAAGTTTTTGAGACTGCTATAACTTATATAAATTTCAAAAGGGACGTAAGTTTGTTGAATGTATGTTTATTATGTCAATAAACATATTATTTTATAAAACGGTATGTCTAATTGAAAAATTAATTGAAAAATATAATTTGTAAAAATACAACTTTTTAGACAATAAACACAATTTTAATGACTTTCTGTTACGCGAAAAAAAATTAATATTTTTTCAGAAAGCTGATATTATTTTACATACATATTATATTTATTATATAACCTTCAGATTTGTATGAAAATTTATATCAGTTAGATCCTGCAAGAAAGCAAAAAAATATTTATTTTATGAATGTAGAAAAATACCTATGAAAACAATCCATTTAAAACGAAACACATGATTCATTGGAATAAATTAGATATTTAAGTAATTTTTTTCGATATTTCAGCTATTCCAAATCCAGTTGCGCCCCTTGTCCCTGAAAGTAAGTCTTTTTTGAGACTGCTATAACTTATATAAATTTCAAAAGTAAAATTAAATACACTATAAATAATAATCCAAAAAAAAACATTATTTCCATTTATATAATGCATTGGGATAAATTAAAAATATTTAAGCAATTTTTTTCGATATTTCAGCTCTTGACACGAAGGACCATGTTCCCCGTAAGTTTTTTAAACTGCTATAGCTTATATAAATTTCAAAAGTGAAAATGTTTATCCATTTTTATTATTTGTTTTTCAAATGATCGTAAGTTGGAAGAAAATATCAGTTTTTGTGCTTTGCAATAATACTAGGAGTTTTTTAAATATTTTCAAAAAGCTGAAAAATTGTATAAAATATTAAAAAAAAGTGTCAGAAAAAAACTAAAAACACATTAACGACCAAGACCAAAATAATGTACTTTATACATTTATATAGAAGCCTAATTTAATTTGAATTCAAAACCATGTGTAAGCTATAAATAAACCATGTTTTTACACAATATTTGTTTTTTTAGCTAAATAACGGTAGTTCAATTTACCAACAAAGCTGCAGTATCCAAGATCAGTTTCACATTTTGAAAATACATATGCTTATTAATACATTTTTTTTGTAAAATCATCATCTTTATTTATCATAATTATTATGTTTCAACCTTTAGATTTTTCAAATAACAATGTATTCTAAAAACATATTCTGTTTTCTATCATATAAATTATATCATGTCTTATACCATATATTAATAAAAACAATATTCGTCGAATAAGTATATTTGTATTTATTACCTTGTCTAATTTAACTATATGTTTTTACTATAATTAGTACAATTGTCGATAGTAATATAATAAAAATATTATAATTGCTTAACTTTTTAAATTATAACAAATATAAATATACAATACATTTTGATTATTTACTATCTATAATCTTTATGCTCTTGATTTAACCTGGAACCTTTTTAATACTTGAACAAGTATAATTTTCGATAGTAATAAAATATAAATATTATCTACAAAAAGTTTAGTCATGTTTTCTTGTAACGCTATTGCGGTGTATAATAATATAGGAGTAAACAACATTTATAATAACCTACATATGTTAAGGTATTTTTTAGTATGTATGTTTTTTAAAAGTATTATTATCATGTACTAAGTTCAGGAACAAATAATAACTACCTACAAAAGCTATGCATATTGTTAGCTACAAAAAAAAATATGTATTAAAAACATACTCCTATTATACAGTGTGATTTTTTTATCATAAGCCGCTCAATATCTCAGTTTTTCACAATTTTTTTTGTTTTTATCCTCCTCCCAACTTAGATTTTTTTAAAGGAATTTTTGAATCTTAAATGGTAACGTATATATTTCATTAAATTTTTAAACTGAGAATTATGTACTAAAAATGTTGACTGGTTGATAACCAGTTTTGGATTATTATTTTTAAAGTTATAAGAGTTTAAAAGTTATTACAGGAGGGGAAGTGCAGTGTAGTACTATTCCACCTACCCTAAACTTGAAACTTCAATAACTTCAAAAATAGTTATCCAAATTTATTTGTCGACTAGTCAACATTTTTAGTAGAATATTCTTTATTTAAAAAACTTAAAACGTTTCCATTTAATTTTCAAAAAATGCTTTTAAAAAAACTAGTTTGGGGGGTCAGGTAGAAACATAATAGTTTGTGGAAAATCGAGATCACATTATATAAAAACACTATGAATAAAAAAAGATCCAAGTAGGTATTAATTAAACTCAGTGAGATATTGACTGGCCCAAGATAAAAAAAATCACCCTGTAAATAATATGACCATTACATGCTTTTACTTCTGATTCATCCTTTTAATTTTTTTTATTTTAAAATGTCTATTGGTATATTGTTATATATGAAACAACTATTTAAATTCATTTTATATAATACATTTACAAGTATAAACATTTAGTGAATTTTGATTATTAACTATCTATACTCCATAGAAAATATTGTTATTGTGTCATTTCATGCCTAATCACTTAACGTGTGTGCGAGTAGATTTTCTAAATTCATACATTGTACGCGGATTGAAGGTATGATTATTTGAAGTTCGTTGTAAGCTGGCTTTATACACTAATCTTTTAACAGTCCCTCCTATGCATTACATGGAGATTTAAATATTTTAAAATCAACAATAAGAAATGTATACATGGCTTTGTGCAGTTAAATTCTATTATATGGTATAACTTGTTGGGGTGGCACAAATAGAACAGAAATTGCTTCAATACACGCTGCCTAAAAATATTTTTAAAAAGGTATCGTACTCCTTTCCGTTAACACATCCTTCAGCGGAATTATTTAATTGTACAAATACATTATCTGTTTATAAGTTATATATTAGACAAGTTTTAATAAAATCTATACAGTGGCATAGATTAAACGATAAAGAACGTCTAGACAGGAGAACAGAAAAATTTACAAAAACACCATTTGCATCCCTTTCTAGCTCACTTTTCATAATTATAATAATATTTTGCTAAAAATCTGTAAAATTTGATACTTTTTCAAACAAGCAATCGATCTTGAGCCACACCGTAAATGGCGAAATAAATACCTGCAAATGTATTGTACATGAAAAGATTCATGATATTTAGTTAAAACTATTAATGCTATAAGTGTTAATTTTTTTAAAATGTATAGCGTGCCGCAATCCGGAATATGTCTGTAATAGGCAGATACCACCTCGACATAGAAATTAAATTATGAGTTGGTTATTATTCGCCATTAGTTGTATTATTTATGTGGGAAAATGAAAGAAAAAAAACCTTTTCAGTTGCACATCTAGCATGATCGTAGAAAATACATGTATTATCAAGAGAGGGCGGCTAAAAAAAATTCTGGGGCAGGCTATAGCCCCTTTGGCAGTGTTGGACAAAATTGTTATATAAATAAATAGCGGCTCTTGTATCATTACAATGATTTATTGAGTCGTGTTTTTCGATTAGAAGGCTATCTGCTAAATAACAAGGCAAATTTCGAGAGGCAGAGGCCTCTCAGTCTAAGACCTCAGTACAATCTAAGTTGTAACACACGAGCAGAATAATATTGTACACTTGCGTTGTTCAAATAATAACATGTTTTCGTGTTATTAACTAAAAATATATGAAGGTTACCCGTGTACGAATTTTATCGGTTTGAAGAAAACAACAGGTAGTATGTAACCAGGACAAATTTTATAAAAGCGATACCGAATCATCCGATTTAATATACTATACATAGTATTATGCTTCTTGATGGGGTACTGTCATATAAACTTGTTTTTACTTAACACCAAAAATTATATTTCAACCCCCAGAACACAGATGTGTATAATATTCTGATAGCTAAGGCTTGACTACTTTTGTTCTTGTAAAATAAAACTCAATTAAATACATGACAAAGTTAAGTTACGCTCATATAATCAGGAACGGACAGTTTAAAACGCCTCGAAAGGCATATCTTACAACTTCGACATGTTTTCAATAATTTTTTTTTTACTTTGAGAAACAGACGGGAACCCATCCTGATTTTGGAGTATTTATATCTTTACAATAAGATTTCAAATTGTGGCTATTCCCTTCCCGAAACTAACGATATTCACTTACTACTACTACTACTACTACTACTACTACTACTACTACTACTACTACTACTACTACTACTACTACTACTACTACTACTACTACTACTACTACTACTACTACTACTACTACTACTACTACTACTACTACTACTACTACTACTACTACTACTACTACTACTTACAACTACTTGGACTGTACTGGTTTGAATCTACTGTCCATCTATTAAATACCACTGTGAACTATCAAAAAAACTAAGTTGTGGGGGGGGGGGGGGGGGGTAAAAAACAGTTTTTTTTGGAAAATTGAGATCACATTATATAAAAAACAATATGTAAAAAAAAAATTTAATTTCTTATTAAACCCTATGAGATATTGAGTGGTTCATCATAATGATATCATACTGTAATTATGTGTGTGTGTGTAAAAAAAAAGGTAAAACATCCATAATTCCCCAGAAAAATTAAAATCTCCAAAAAAAGGAAAAATCCCCAAACTTGGCAACACAGTAATTCTAAGAGTGGTTTACCCTATGGGAACGATGGAAGGAACTAGTTCATTTCTTCAAGCTTGGAACGGGAAAGGACTAGTTTCTTTTTCGAAGGAAATTTTCAAGCACTGATACAGTGCAACCACATCTTAGAATAAGACAGTCTCGCATTCACTACTACTACTACTACTACTACTACTACTACTACTACTACTACTACTACTACTACTACTACTACTACTACTACTACTACTACTACTACTACTACTACTACTACTACTACTACTACTACTACTACTACTACTACTACTACTACTACTACTACTACTACTACTACTACTACTACTACTACTACTACTACTACTACTACTACTACTACTACTACTACTACTACTACTACTACTACTTACAACTACTTGGACTGTACTGGTTTGAATCTACTGTCCATCTATTAAATACCACTGTGAACTATCAAAAAAACTAAGTTGTGGGGGGGGGGGGGGGGGTAAAAACAGTTTTTTTTGGAAAATTGAGATCACATTATATAAAAACAATATGTAAAAAAAAAATTTAATTTCTTATTAAACCCTATGAGATATTGAGTGGTTCATCATAATGATATCATACTGTAATTATGTGTGTGTGTGTAAAAAAAAAGGTAAAACATCCATAATTCCCCAGAAAAATTAAAATCTCCAAAAAAAGGAAAAATCCCCAAACTTGGCAACACAGTAATTCTAAGAGTGGTTTACCCTATGGGAACGATGGAAGGAACTAGTTCATTTCTTCAAGCTTGGAACGGGAAAGGACTAGTTTCTTTTTCGAAGGAAATTTTCAAGCACTGATACAGTGCAACCACATCTTAGAATAAGACAGTCTCGCATTCACTTGAAGAACTGTAAAAAGCCATAAACCTAACTTTTCGGTTGAAAAGTGTTCAGAAATATTTGAAAATGTCTAATGCTTTTAAGTACATAAGTTGTTAGCTTCACATGCGTCGTTAAAGAACCCTATATCCTAATATCTCAGTTTTAAACTTCGAATAGACTTTTCACAAAACTATAAATTTTTAGCCGTGGCGGTCATGTTCTAAGGGTGCGTTAAGTACTAACAGCATGTATTTTGAATAATTATAATTTCTAAAATAAGAGTAGGTGATCAGATTATGATTCGTTAGTGTCATTTTTATATTATCTACATAATGTACCACAATTATTAGCATGTGACTGCAGAGAAGTGGAACAGTCTATGAACCACATTGTGGGTATGCCCAAGAGTCTATTTGAACAAGGGATTATAGGAAATCACCGGGTTACCAAAGAGGCAATAGAATGCTTAAGTGAGCTTGACTTGGACTTATAAATGACTAATATTATTTTATTATACGTTGATTTATTTTACACTAAAAACAATGTATGTAAAATGATTATGATCTGTTTTATTATTTGTTACAGTTTGAAATGTAATAGTGTATTATGTGTTTGTTGTTCATGCCATGCGAAATAAATAAATAATAATTCCTGTAGCCCTGTGGGGAGGGCTACAGGAATTATTATTCCTCCCCACTATGCCACGACCTAACTGTACTGGCTTTGTTTTTTTGGAAAAAAATTTAACGAGTAGACCGATTATTTTCTGACGTGTACGGATTTCTTTCTAAACCAGAGGCCCAAATTTGGATTT